TTCGTACAACCGAATCATAATATAGGGTATATTTATCCGCCATATAGCATATTCCCGCGCACTGTAGTCGTACAGTATTCTTTTTCTAATTTATCATTCTCGTAAGATAATATTATCCGCTGAAATAGGTTTTAAGTGCACCGTTATGCAATTTTTTCCATTCACCTCTATTCACGACCCCGAATATTTTACCGTGCACCTTTATCTCAAACTCCGCCATCCATATGCGTGTATAGTTTTTCGGTTTTTCGCAAAAGCCGCGTTTCAGCCTCATACAAGACACGTGTATTGTATAATATTAATAAATATGCACTTTTAAAATCATTATTCCTACGAGTTATGTACACGTGTGTAAACCCCTAGGAAAAAAATCCGAACCAACACGGTATTTGCAGATTTATATCGTAAAAAAATCGTCCCCGTATTACTCATATCTGATAATGTACAAATAAAAAAAAAAAAAGGTTATATACTTTTGAACCAAAGTGTACATTATTACATAAAGGTATTTAGGGCGAACATTTTTTTTTTCTGTCGTAATTCTAAATAATAGCATGACGCGGTAATATTAAAATTTTTTCTAATACTAAATGTGTATTAAGAAAATAACGTTTTTAGCTTAACATAAAAATTGGAAAATATTCCATACTACACCTATCATATACAGCGAAAAACGTGCACATTTCTGATCAGAATCCATCACGTTCTAAAACATATTTGATTATATTCCGGTAAAAGACATTTTTTGACTGTCGTTCAACAAACGTGATGTGTTTTTATTATTATTATTTTTAATTAAAATACCGAATATTGTAAATATTGTATACAATTTGTACTAATTAATTACACGCGCGCGGGTAGTTTTTATTCGGATTTTATTATTTATTTATTTATTTTTTTTAAATTAATTTTAAAGGTATTTTCATCGAGCAATAACGCAAACAACCGTTATAATAATATAATTATGTACCGAGTGACTTTTTTAATGTTGCTCTATTACAAATCGGCCTTAAATAATATAATATTACGAAGTCGTCAACCGTGCGGTTTTAAACACATTATTACTGATACATTTTTACTGCACCGGCGACGACTGCATAATACAACATAGGTATATTATATTGTATTGTAAAACGTCATCGCCGTGCACCGATCGCGAACGCATCGTATCGTTTATTGCACATTATGCATGCAAAGTCACGCCCATTTCTCAATTGCAAATTGCGCTTTTGCGATTCGATTGTCTTTGTGCATGTGCAGCCGTTTCGAACCGATAATAATTTAATTGAATTTATATGAAGACGTCATTTTCGTACAATATTTACCTAATTATCGCAATAATTATTCGCTTCGTATAATTCGTTACCCTAATACGTAAATAATTACATATTATAACCACAAATTAACCTAACACGTATCAGATAAATGTATAAAATGAACAGCAGAGCACCGTCACATTTTCATTTATTTTTTTTTATAATTTATCGAAAATAATTACGGTTGTCAGTAATCGCATACATTTTAGTACATGGGGTTCATTTCAATTGAAATCCGATATTTCCCGCGAAAACATGAAATTTCTGCACAGAAATGATTATGGAGGGGTTTGAAAATTTAAACGCACAAAAGACACTTCTGTAACGCTTACGCCACGCATATACTAAATATTATCCCCATAGCTACGGGGATGTCTGTAAGGGCGTACAAAGCGGAAAAAACACTTTTCTACCGTATAACAACACGGTGAAATCCATGTTGAAATGCAACTGTCATTCAATGTTACTTCAAAGGCTAAAAAAAACATGATTCACACAAGTTTAAGCTCGTTTGGTGTCCAAAAGTATGTGACATATGTATGTAACATAAAATATACAGTGCAATACTATTGTTTTTACTTAACCACCGGCCAACGAATAAAAAACAAAAAATTACTACAATTTCCATCGGTTAATAATAAATTCGGCTGCTTATTTGATTTAAACTGCATAATGGAACGATAATTTATCATACACAGAACTCAACTATACCATCTACATCTATTATATATCTCAAATTTTCTGATACTTAACGGGAATCGATTGTTAGTTTTCAAAAAAAAAAAAAAAAAGGTTTCATGACTCTCCATTGTTATTTATTTATTATTTTGTATTTTACGTCATTTATTTTTATTTAATTTTCGAAAATGGGGATTTATTCTTCTTCTTTTTCTCGTGTCCGTCTGGGGGATTGCCAATAATTTACAATATCTCGCATCGGTGTAGGTCTAGCGATCGGAAAACTGCATAATCCGTATCAGCTGTATTAAAACGGATTTAATAAATAATTATAAATCAATGGATTTGCGTGTATTTATCAACTTGCAGTTTACAAAAATGCACCCGAGAAATGTCCGATCTCTAGATCTCTATATGCATTCTATGGAATAGATTAAAAATATATGCACTTAAAATCTATAAAAAAAAGCGCCTAAAAGCGTCAAAAGTTTTTAAAAAATAAAAATGGTAGAGGGATTTAAAAGTGCTCCCTTTGAAAGGTTTTAACTTGTTAAAAATAAATTTCTCATTCGAAACAAATGATTAACATTAAGTAATTTTTTTCAAATAAAATTGTGCGCATATTGTAAAAGAAAAAAAAAATACTTTGCGTAATCAGTTTTGCGTTAGAACCGTAGAAAGGGCGATTTTTTAAATTCCTTTAGCAACTTTGGCTTTTTTTATACGTTGTTAAGTGATTTTTTTTCAGAGCTTTTTTATACGATTTCAAACGTTTATTATTTTTATTATTTTTTTTTTTTTGAGAACTTCAAATGCATATTAATCCGTTATCTTTACTATAATAATATTGGAAACAACTTTTGTGTTATTTTTAATTTATAAATGGTGATTATAATATCGCCATTTTTTTTTTCCACTATTTGTTTCAAGTATTTTTTTGTTCTGTTCAACGACGGACGACTATCGTACAAACCTATTCAACAAAATGTTTAAAATAATAATTTCGCGTAGCCATTTAATATAGTACATTACACCTGTAAATATATATATATATATATATATATATATATATATACAACGAATAAGAGAGGATAGTTTTCCGAATTTTTTTTTTTCAACACCGCAGAAATTTCCAACCGATTCGCCTATATAGGTTACAGGTTAGAGGTTAATATTATTTTGTTCGAGCGTAAAAAAAAAAAAAATAATAAAAAACCGACTCCTGCAATACACCGTAATAACTAGACGGCATTTTCTTTCGGATAAGACGGAAATTCGGAACGAGGTTTCCGGTATGGAAAACCCGTAAAATCGAAAATAACGAAACACTTTTATGCGGGCGTAAATTCGCCCGTATTTGTCTGTAGGTTTTCTCCCCGATTGTCGTGTGAAAATTACACTCGCGCGGTAAATCGAAAACGACCTCTGACCAACCTCTACGCCGGCCTGTTCGCCTGTTATCTGCCTATACCTACGATTTCCCGGGAGAAAAGTTGTTTATAGACGGTAAAAAACGGTGGAAAAAAAGCGCGCGTCTCCTCCTCGGGTAAAACCGATTATCTACACGCACGTTGCTCGCGTCCGTCCGCAAAATGTAAAATGATTTGTCCGCGCCGTCGCGGCGTAATTGTCGATGCCTATACCTATAGAGAATGCGCGCGTGTCTATAAATAGGCGATTCGGGCGGCGACGGGGGAAAACGAGAAAAAAAAAAAACGATATCCGTCGGAGGGGTGCAGTGCGATCGCGGGGAGGGAATCGAAAACCGCGCAATAATAATGTCGCGTACGACGTATTCCCGGCGGCGGCGGCGGCGGCTGATTTCGCGAAAGACGTCGTCCATTTTGTTGTAGCGGCGCGCGGCCGGTGACGTCACGGCGACCGTTCACCAACCTACACAGGGCCCCAACGTTGGCCGCGCCACCGCTATCTTGGCGACGGTCGCCCGCACGCGCGAGTACTCGACGCGCGCGCGCGCGCGCACACACACACCGCGAATAATAATAATGTATTATATACGTACACACGCAGTATAAATTATTAATATTACGATACGTATGTTGTTATTATTATACGCGGCCGCGCGCGCGCGCGCGATATACAGTGCTGCCTCGTTTCGCGTGATTGTCGAGGGGGCCCCGCTACGCGCGCGGCCGCGTCATTTTGTTCTCCGCGTCCGCGCCGCCGCCGCCGCCGCGCGCGATAATACCGTGCAGACGCCGTCGCGCCGTTTACCGTACGGGCGCGTCGGACAAAGGGCGTCGGACTCGCGCTTTCCGGCGAAAATTGGCCGCGATCCGACGAGTGAGCCCGGTCGAATTCATCACGTCAACGGGTGGGTCGCGACGGTTGCGCGCACGCGATTTTGGTTAACCGCGGTTTGCGCGGATCCGCGGAAACGCCGTGTTTGCGCGCGGTAATTACGGGAACGTATCGTGACCGAAAGTAAACGGAGAAAAAAAAAACAAAAAACTACCGGCTGTATGGATATTTAGTCGTTATTATTCGTTATCAAGACGCGTCGGACATCACGGCCGTTCGGATTCGTTTACGCGGTTACGATAATATTCAATAACCCGTATACGACCAAAATCGCCAAAACGATTTTATTGTTTGTGAAATACGGTGACCGGGTTGCATTTGGTTATTCGCCAAAACACGCCTGTATCATGCTCCCCGGTCGAGTTCGCCGTCAAAGAGCCTGGTTACGCGCGTAGTACGCGTGCGGGAGAGTGCAGACGATGTGGTTTCGGTTTTACGTCGCGCAAATGCGATAAATATCAATAATTGTTGGCAGAGAAATTAACGTAAACGCGCGTTTTTTCGCAATAAAAACGAAAATATCACCCGGGGGGGGGGGAATAATCGTATTAATGAGGCCGTAGTAATAATAATAATCTTTTTCGGATTCTGAGCGGAGCGAGAAATATATATCGGCTTTAGCAACGGTGTTTTCTTTTTTTTTTCCGCGAACATTTCGCTCCGGTTTTCGAGCGTAGCGCCTTTTCTGAAAGGAAATATCGCCGGCGCGGTACTTTACGGAGGTCGTTTTTCGATTTTCCCAGGGGTCTTACATAATAAACCGGAAATAATGTAGGAAAAACAGGGAAAACGTATACGAAATGTATTATTTTCAAATCGTAAATATCACGGCCTTTCAGAAACGTGTTCAACCGAACCCCGCTCAGAATCGTTGTTCGCACAGGCACACGTTAAATTTCCCGTCCACCTACCCAACTCCTCGCCTACAACCGCAGGGGCCCGCCCATCGTACGAAGTATACGTGTCCGTTTGTTTTTGATTTGTTTTTTTTTTTTTTTTACGAATTACACAATAGGTTCTGTATAATGTGACGACATTCGACGTGACGCCCTAAACCCGGCCGAAGAGCCGCGACCGTCGAAACGCGGAACGGACGCAGGGAGAAACGGAATTCCGATGCACGGACAGGGCCTTTTTACAACAATAGTAACTGCGCGAAAATACAAAATGTCGTAACGCAATTAAAATTACATTGAAACGCCAAACGTTGCGCGATACGATTCGCGCGGACGTTTCGTCAGCCGCCTTCTCCAAACACATAACCGCCCGAAAAATTGCCAAACAATATCGCGCGACGGGGAAGAGGAGCGCGGGGCAACGATAACGGCGTGACGGCTAGCTGCGACAATGCAATGCGGCCGGGCGGACGGCGAACGGTAGCGGGAGGGACGGTAAAAAACGCCGTGTTACGCGCGACCTATATACGAACGCGAACGCGCTGCCGGCGAGCGGATACGCGCGTAACGTTACGGCCCGCGGGCGCCCGGCGCCGCGGCGGCCGCGAGGCGAGCGGATGACGGGCGAGAACCCTACCGCGGCCGGGAAAAACCGTTTGCCGGACACCCGCGACAATTGCCGCGCCCGCGGGCATTCCGCGGGCGCCCGGGCGCGGCCCGCAGTGTCACGATGTCCCGCGCGTGCATGGTCCGCGGACGCTCGTAGGCCGGGCCGTTCGCCGTTCCCGTTGCGTACACCCTCGAAAACCGTACCGTGCGCGACATTAGACGGGGCGGAGCGAGGGCCGTTCGTACGTGTCGGCGCGGCGGACGCGAACGTTTTCGCGGTCCGTTATTGATGAGAAATGAGAAAAATATATCCGGAAAACCGCACGGCGTCGTTGAAAGACGTGTCGAATCGAGGGAATTCCGAATATTTTTCGGCGGGGGGGGCCGGGGGGAGGGAGGAGAGGTAGGTTTTCGTTGGCCCGAACGCGGTCGCCGACGACGGTTTTCGTCGTCGGCGTCGAAACAATAATATTATCGGCGGGCATGAAACGCGGCTGTACGCGTAAAGTACAACACACAATACCGTAACGCCGTGACGTTTGTGCGCGCGACTCGTCTCGAAAGACGACGGCGACGGCGACGGCGACGACGACGACGACGCCGCCGCGGCAGAAATTATTATTATAAGTTCACCTATACAGAGCCCCCGGGCCCGCCGCCGCGCCGGACTCCTAAACCGTGCCCCTGGAGTCGTGAACCTCGTGCCAGCCGTTCGCGAAAAAAAAAAAAAAAAAAAAATAGCGAAAAAAATTCACCAGAAATTATAATAAAATATATACGCGAGCGCGCGCGCGAGTGTTGCGCAAAAACAACGGAAAAAAAAAAAAAAAACCAGAAAAAATACACGTACAAACGAAAACGAGACACGATATTCGGTCAACACTCGTGTGTAATACACCCGTAGTCGTCGTATGCCTAACAGCGCATAGTTATTTTTTTCGGTTTTTATTTTTTTTTTTCCTGCCCTACACGTTATGTATTTCCGATTTGCGCATCGCGTCGCTACGGCGAGGGTTTTTTTTTTTTTTTTAAATTATTTTTCAGTTTTTTTTTTTTTTCCAATCCATCAAAAATTAATACAGAAACGCGAAACAATCCGTACGGTCGCGGTACGCGTATTGTCATTTTCGCGTCCTCCATCCCCCGACCCCTCTCCCGTCGCCGCTGTTCCCGACCGTGGTAAGTGGGCACGTTAGGTTAGGTTAGGTTTGCCGGGGGGGGAGGGGGTCGCCTGGCGCACGTCTGCGCGACGGAAATCGTGCGCGTGTTATGCCATATTAATATCATTGTTAACGACGAATATGATAAGCGGCGATACACGGCCGGCAACGCGGTAGGATATTATCGTCGCGATATTTGCGATATTAATTCGACGCCGCCGCCGCCGCGAACAGAAGAAAAACCAGTATATTGCCTACGTGTACTAACTGTATAACAGTGTAATAATAATAATAATAATAATAATGTATACGAATAGGTCGTAATGTAGCCGGTCCGCGCACTGTAATAATCGGTAATATACGGGAGAGGAAAAAACCGATTTGGCGGTTGAACACGGACCAACCGCAACGTAATAACGATAATACACTGTGGCCGATGGAGAGAAAAAAAAAATAGATAAATAAAATAATAATAAAAATTGCGCGAACGGTGTATTTTTCAAGGTTTCCACGGGAAAACGGTACCTGATAAATTATTATAACTATATTGTTATAACTTGTAACAACAATACAGCTCGTACCGGTGGCGTCGTCGTCGTGGTCTACCGGTGCTGCTATCTGACGGTGACCGCGGGGACACGCGGACCGGGGCGTGCACCGTTTTTCTCGCGATAATATTAATATCATAACCGATAGCGTACGGTGTTATTTTTTTTTTCATTTTTCTAATCGTATATTTACCAGTGATGCCTGATGGCTCGGACAAACAAACGGCGAAAAAAAAAAAAAACCAAAACGAAATATTCGAGTAGGGATACTGTAATATTATGTTATGATGTTAAACTATCAGATGATGTTAAAATATACTAGAAAAAAAATGTTTTAAAAAAAAAAAAAAAAAAACACGCGTTCAGTGAATATTAAATTCCCCGCACCGCTACCGTACACACAGCAGTATTATACTATTGACGATATTCATAGCGTACACGTTGTACAATATTATACATTATACAACTATTATTGGATACTGTCGGAAAATACAGCGAGTATATTATACAGGAGTTTCGATAATAATGATTGAATCGATAATTGCCGGGGGAAAAAATGCTTTGGTAAAAATGGCTAGAGAAAAATATCGCCGGAGGAAACAGTGTCGTGTCGAAGAATTTTTTTTTTTTTTGAGAGGCCAGCGCCTCTGGACATCCCACTGAGAAGAAAGTATGCGGCAGTGAAACAAATTGGCCGACATTTTTCCGTGGCCATATTTTCCTCCATTATAGAGGAATAATTAATTATTTGAAATTATTGTCCATTGGCTACTGTGCTTCGCGTTGTAATATTGATATGTTAATAAAGCTAACAGTAAAAAAAAAAAAATATTCCTAGGTAATAATAGACATGGAAAAAATGTCTAACATTTAGTTATTTTTGATCACTTTCGATTAAGTCATTATGACCGATTATCATTAAAGGTACTATATAAAGAGGGCAGTGGCGCATTTTCAACATTTTTCTGCTAGGGGTCCTGAAAACAAGGGTCTGGATAAATCTTATAAATCCGGCAATGAAATAGGGGGTACTACTAGAGGTGCTTAAAAATAAATGAGAAATATTATTTTATTGGGAGTCTAAGACACTCTAAAAAAAATATAATATACAGTCCTATTACACTTGACAAAAAAAATTTAAATACCTTCGGCGGTGCCATTTGAAGGGGAGAAATATGGGCAATTGTCCCAAATCTCAAGAGTTTAATTTTTACTAAGATAAAAATTAATAAACATAAATTATTATAATAATTTAATTTTTAACAACTTTTTAACCAGAGATTTGTCTTCAATCATCAACACTAAAGGTAGGTTTTTGGTCAACATTTTTACTTGATTGGTACATTAAACTAGTCTTTTTAATAATTTTAATTTTACTTTTCTTATCAATAGGAGAAAATAGAAAAAAAATCGGAAAAACGGGAATATATACGGAACATCGATTTCTGTTTAAATCGATTTTATTCATTCTTTTAATTCAGTGAACATTTTTATTCCCAACGATCTGAAATTTTCTCAAAATAATTTTGTCACTTCTCTTTTAGATGTGTACAATTTAAAAAAAAAATTCTGACGCTATTTAAGTTTTTTATAGCTATATGCAATTTTCAAACATTTTTAGTTTTATGTGGATACAATTTTTCGGCTTCTCGATGATTATTGAGTGTTTTTTATTTAAAAAAAAAAAAAAGAGAAACAGAGTTGACACTGTTGATAAGGTCAAGAACGAAGTTCGGCTGTACAAAATTCTGTACAAATCTCATTATTGATTTAATCAATAATCAGATATTCACGAAAATTTATCAGATTTTCTAACTACTAGAGTAAGATTTTCCGTTTACTGTGTATCTGCTACAGAAAGTAAATGGTATTAGTAGATATTGTAACAAAATATTATGCTACATTATATGTGTATAGTTATTACTAGCTCTATTATCCGGCTTCGCTTGTGGACAATTTTGTCACCTAGATAGTCTCCTCTGGACACTATAGTTTGTGGATGGACCTAGGTTTGAATTCATCTTTATAGGCGTTATGCGACCAATAAAAAAAAAAAAAAAATCTATCCGAACAATCACAATTATTCACTACAACACAATCGAGATGAACTAAAAGCCAACAAAGGATGTCAAACAACCACTCAGAATCTAAAAAGATACCATAGATATACCGACTCAGTACAGCGCATACGTTTTCGTTTCCCACCTACAACAATGGCTGCACCCGCGTGCGAAGTATGTCCGTTTTACAACGATAATAATCCATAACAATAAATAAACAACACCTTTATGTGCGTGCTTTCCGATTATTTAAAAACTTGGTTGTTCGATTTTCAATTAACTTATAGAATCGGAAATAGGCTTAATAGCTCTTGCAGGCGGTATACTCTATCGTTTAAACTAATGGCGATTGGATGAGTGAGTTTCGGGGCCAACCCGCGACAAAGATTTCCATTTTCGCTTTTATACATATTAATATATTATACAGGTAATACTCTCACCGGCGAGGGAGGAAGTGTAATTAAGTAAAGTCAATAAGTTAAGGGGGGAAGTGTTTATTTTCGGTTTTCCGAGGCATTGGAACATCTAGACACGCGGTATTAGTGGAATTTCACTAAAAAAAAAAAAAAAAATGTCCGGCGAAATATTATATATTTAGTGTACGGCCAACGCAAT